CCCCTGATTGCTGTTTTCCCAAGACAAAGTCCAAGGAAGTACCTGAGACGCATTGAAATTTGACGATACCGTGCTCACAACGTCGTAGCCTTCCGGAGGGCTAATCAAACAGATACGGTGGGAAACATGTTGCGGCTTACCGACGAGGGCTACGTTAAGGGCTGCTAGGCCGACCAGAGACGTCACCGCGAAGGCGAGTAGAGCATATGATGCATATCTCCAACGCTGGGTGAATGGTCGGGTAATGGGATAGTTCTGTCATTGCGTCAGTATGCCAGGGGATCTAAGGGTTCGCTTGCAGATACGCACGAAGCTGATGAGTCCTTCGAACTTCATCTAGAGCGCGTGCGTGGGCTGCCAGTGCGTCGTCCGAATCGCCTCGAAGCCAGTCCGTGGTGTGTTGTCGTGGTTCTGATGCTCCGCAGCGTTGTTGCCGCGCGGCGCTTATTGGGGCGCAGAGAGCGTGCGTGGGGTGCGTTGGCTTCTGTATCGTCTCTATGGCCTTGCCGTATTGTCGGTGTCATCGACTCTTTGTATGTCTTTGTTTGGTCTGGTTCAGTGTGGTGGACCTGTTGAGTGTTCTTGTGTGGGAGTGTGGCTCAGGATGGCTCTAGGTCCTCGATGTGCGAGTTCCGTTTGCCTTTAGTCTGGGTTCTGGGGGGTGGAGTTGAAGGTTGTGGGCGTTGTTCAGCGTAGTTCTTTGTTTTTTTTGGTCCTTTTTTTTTTTTTGTTCCTCGTCTTCTCTCGTCGTCCCGGCGGGTCGAAGTGTGGTTGTTGTTTTTTCTTTACTTCTGCTGTTCTTCTGGTCCTTTGGCGCCTTGGCGATTCGGACCCGGGCCGCGGGTGTGGTGGTGTATTGTTGGGTGTTGTGGCTTTGTGGCTCCCCTGCCCGCTTGCCCTCTTGCTCTTTCTTTTCAGAGCACCACATTTTTGTGTCGTTTTGGACCTTTTGTGGTGTTTGTGTCTCTCTATCGCTTGCGATTTGTTGTTGTTCTTTTCCCCTTGTCATGGTGTAGCTGGGCTTCTTCTTCTTCTGGCTCTGTATATTTTTCTTTTTCCTCAGGTTGTTTTTGTTTGTCGGTGTGGGTGCGGGCCTTCGGCTTTTGTCTTTGTCGCGTCGGTGTCTTTCGTTTTCGTTTTCAATTTGCGGTTGTGGTGTTTTGCCCCTTTTTTGAGTTGGTTTTGGGTTTTTTCCCTTCCGGGGGGGGTTGTTGTTTTTTGTTGACGCGCGGTGTTGTGCGGTGGTGTGTGTTTTTGTGTCTCTGTGTATTGTGCCTGTTGTCGGGTTCCAGGAGGGGACCGGTTCCGGGGGGGCACTTGTTGGCGTTCAGGTTGTTGGTTTTTCCTTACGGTTGGCCCGGGGTTTGCCAACCCTTTTGGGGGACCAAGGGGGGGTTGGGGGGTTGGTTGCTTTTCTTTCTTCTTTTTGTTTGTTGCCCTTGTTGAAGGGTTTCCTTCCGCTAGGAACTTGGACATGTGTTCAATAGGCTTAATCACGCTTTTGAGCGGAACCTATCTACTTACCATGTATCAGATAAAAGCCCAAAGGGCCGTTCACCGTCTGTCAAAACCTTCTCTTCCCTTCCCTCCCGCCTTCTCTCTCTCTCATTTTTATCCACCCCCTGCGCGGGTTCAAAGGTACTACTGATTGGTTATCTTGGCCTGGTCATGTACACTAATCATGCTCCTTCACCAGGTCTGAGACCTCCTTTTCAGTGGCAGGAACACTCCGTTTTGCACTCTCCTTTTGCGCTTTGTTCCAGTCGTTCGGCCTCACAGGATGCGGTGTCCTACGCGGTTTTGTCTGTCTTTGACCTTCCTGTCATGGGCCTCCGTTGCCTATGCGCAATGCATGCTCAAGATTCCTCCTAATCCTCTCACTGCCCAAGGTCTCGCAATCCCGTATGAGTTGACTGGATGCAACGTAGGTACCCTCTTCCTTATTTTCAGTCCAGTCGCACTCATCTCCTTCTCAGCAACTAGATTTTGCAAATGAGGGGGTCTTTGTTGAAGCGGCTATCCTTGATCCTGCGACGGGCAGCATTCAGATCTATAATCCCCTCGTTATCAACGCAGGAATGGTGCCTATAGGACAGGGCCAAAATGGCACTAGCACATCCTCGACGGCTCCCAGCAGTACCATCGTTTCGCCGTCAAGCGTTTTGTCGCAAAGTAGCGCGAGCGCAATTTCTTCTAGCTCAAGCTCGACAGGAACCAAAGGTCACGGTTCTTCCGCTGCGTCGTCCGCTTCACCCTCCACCTCTAGCGTAGGGAAAGTAACAAGCAGCGCTGGAGTGCTTTCGCCTAGCTCGTCTGTATTGGGTGGCGCTACCACGGTTTCTGCTCCTTCTACCACAGTTGCTGCGAGTACTTCTTCATCCAAGAAACCCGCAACGACACTGGGTGCACGGCAGGCGGCCACTAGTGCCGGCTTTTTCGTACCCCCGATCGTACCTACCCTCCCTAACGGTGCAATTGTTGGCTTGTGGTTCGGTAGCAACGCCAACTCCGTCACGCTCACGGGTGCGACTGGAGGATGCGTCAATGGGGTTGGTGATTCTGTGTTCGGGCAGGTATGGTGGTACTTCTTCACGTTCACGTTCGTTCGTGCTCAACCTCCCTGTAGTTCGCGTACTGCAACGGGCAAGCGTGGTTCAACGCTGCCAAAACAGCTGTGCAGCAAGGTCTTATCAAAGTCCCAGCTCCGGGGACAGGATCGGGTGGCCAGGCTTGTCCCGTTACTCGTGACTTCCGTATCGTCGACCAGGTGAGCATCAGTATCAGTATTTGCTGTTGTCGCTTTACTTATCATTGTGCTCAGGATCAATCGGACAACGTCGTTACCACGTACCTCATGATCGGTAACAACACGCTTGCCCAGAACACCCCCACCAATGCTAAAGCAAACCCCGACGCGGAGGTGTTGTCTAATGGTAAGTCTGATTTCTTATACAACGTCACGCAATAACAAATTCTGTCTAGCATCTGACAATGCCCTCGTCAACGAGTTCATCCAGCCCTCGCTCGGTTGCACTGCGTATCAGAACCCGTGCACGACCTGCCCGTCAGGACAGAGCCCTGCTCTCGCCACTAACGTTAGTAGCGTATCACATCTTTCGTCACGCATCTTTACTGAGGCTTGGCTTTGGCACCCCGTAGGAGCTTCAGTCAAACTTCTTCCCACCAGCTGGTGGCCCAGCACTGGTTCCACTGAACGATCCTATGGTGCTCATCAACGGACAGCAGTCTCTCCAGAAAGTGAACCTTTACCGCGATGGTACTGGTCAGCCACAGGCCGACAACAACAACGCATCTGGGTTGACTTATTGGTAAGATCGACCTAACTGCGGACACCACCGGCTCATCTCAATCTTAATTTCACTTTTCAGCCAACAATTCACTCAGTCGGGTCTCTTCATTAACTTGAACCAACAGGCGTTCACCAACACCGGCTCACCTGCTGCTGATCAGGCAACGAACTTGTTCACTTTCCTTGCCATGAGGTTTTCTGCCTCCTTTGGACCTGCGCCGGGTAGGCTCCTTGCGAATTTCTCAGTTCCATGTTTATTCACGAGCGTGGTCTGCAGGTCTCGGATGCACTCAGCTTCTGAATATTGCTAACCCCGTTACCCTCACCACTGATGGAAACGGTATCGTGACTGCTGCGACCATCAACACCCAGGTATTGCAACAGATTTTCGGTGGACTTGTAAGCGAATTTGGCTCTCAATGCTCGCTATTCCGACCTAGTTATCTCATACTACATGCCCGTTTTCTTCAGACTGGCACCACATCTGCCACTACCTCAGCTGTCCAGACGAGCTCTGCGAGCGCGAAGACGAGTGCAGCTGCAAGTATTACCAGCGCAAGCCACACAGGTGTTCTCCTGGAAAGCACGACCTCTGTGGCTGTAACCCCCACTGGTACCACCACAAACCCATCAATGGCGACTTCCAAGACGACGGCTCACCACAAAACCCATACGCATAGCTCTTCTCCGGCGGCAGGTACGACTGCTGTCGGTCAGTCAACTGGGGCTGTCGGTGTCCCCACGAGTCCTGTCGCTACAGCAACCCCTACTGCAACTCCAACGAGCCCTGCAATGGGATCTGGCTCTGGCTCTGGCGCCGTCACGGTAACAGTTACTGTCACAGCAACCGTCTGCCCGTCTCAGGTAAGACTCGAATATTGCCTTCATTCCGCGCAATCTCATTAAATGGCGATTTTTTGCAGACTGCAAGCTGGGTAAGTTCTGACTGAACGGTCGACCGCTGAATTTAGCTGACTGTTCTTCCCGCATCTTAGACCCCTCCTTCACCTTCTTCTTGGCACAAAGGTTCATGGTCGGGCGGTTCATGGGGAGCTCCCAGCTATAAGAGGTGAGTCATCCCTCAATGGACCTGGTGTCATACTAAGAATTTTTGCTCAGGGCATTCCCGTTCGCCGGCCATGACCGGATGCAGAGGAAGAGCAGGCTTTCGTCGAGCTGATGACCGGCTTTCCCCCTCAGCCTCTTTCAGCTATGCCTTCATGCTCTCGGGCGTAGGGATTCGTAGTCTACTTCCTAAACGAGGATACCCTGTCCTCCCCCTTCTTTTTCTTTGTTTTCGTGTCTGGGACGTGGAGGTTCTTGCGTTTGCATTGTGAAGGGCTGGATACACCCATCACCATCATTATACATTTTGTTCATGTAAGTAGTTCGACTGGTCATTTGGAATGGGTGCATTGCGAAATCGATTATCCCGTCCGTGAACGCAAAACCTGTCCGCTAGGCAATGGTGACATCTCCTTAATCAGCGAGCGAGTAAGCTATATGCCGTGAGCCACAGTGCTTTCTCCACGTCCGAGTGGCCATTATTCACCACCAGGCCAACGAAGTGTTTGCCAAAAAAACACCATTGCGAGTGCGGTGGTACACGCTATCCTATCGAGAACATTGGAAATACTTGCTTCTCAAGGATACTTTGCATTATATTAAGCTCTACAAGCCATGTCATCATGGTCATATAGTGTAGTGGTTATCACTCGGGATTTTGACATGGATAAGCGCATGACGTCTTCCCGAAACCCAGGTTCGAACCCTGGTATGACCTAGATTTTTGTCGGCTTCTCACATGCTACTCCATCCCCCGAACATCGAACGAGCGACACAAAGTCTTGTTTTTGCAACGAGTATTTTAGAAACGGACGTTGACCCAACCCCTCTTGGAATGCTTTTCTGTCGTCGATGATCTTCGCACAACAAGTCTGCATTGTGGAGCTTGCCCCTTCCGATTTGTGCTGACTCTACGGCTCATATATGGTTTGCACTGCGGAGAGATACCCATGCTCACTTTCTGCAAGTCGTTCCAAGATGAAGTGTGCCCTTGCTGTCTGTGAGCAAGTAAACCTAGCCTCTTCAGCGAAATCACATCGCCCTCTAACATCATCTACCATACAAGAACAAAACAAACAAACAAGCAGGGGGGTATCCTCGGAGCAGCTCGTCTCGGGTATGATGAATTAGTCCAAATGATAAAATACAGTCCATGCAAAATAAAGCAAAGTCGTGCACCCTCCCACTTCTCCTCGCTCTCCTCTCTCATTGCGCTACCGCCGCTAATACCCAGACGGCCTCGCGCTCGATTTCGACGTGTCGTACGCGCGGATAAGTTTCGTCTGGTCTTGCTTCCCGTTTTCGGTCTGCGAGAATGCGAAGCCGCGGTTACGGCGCATGCGCTGGACCGCCCGGACTTTCTTGATCGCTTTTTGGAATCTAAGGGGCATTTGGTCAGGTGCGCAAGAAAGCAGATAAAGAGACGCGAGAACGCGAGACGCACTGTTCTTGTCGTGGACGGTAATCGGGGATGTTGTATTTTTGTAGTTCTTGTGCGATGTGGTATGACATGGGCATGTACGTTCGTCGATAGCTACGCCCACGTCGACGAGGAATCGGTCACCAGTGCAAAGGACAAACGCGAGAGGGCCACTCACTATTTCCACGCAAAGTCTCGTGCGAGACAGACTATGGGCACAAGCAGGAGCATAAAGTAAAAGACGGCGTCTGTCCATAGCCGCGGGACGAGGCCGTAGTACTCGGTCGAGAAGCCGATAGCGGGGGCGACGTACGCGTAAAGAGGGAGGAAGAGCATCGTAAACACGAATGAACCTGGGATGGCAGCAACAGTGTATTTTGTCCACAAACTGCGCTCTCTCGTTAGCCTACGCAAGTCATGAATCGAGAGGGGGACCCACTCTGAGATTAAAGCAGCTTTGCCGAGAACCGTGAGGAGAACAGTAAGATAGAGCGTCGTGCCCCAGAACCAGTGCCCCGAGTCGTACCCCGTGGCCTGCTTCAAATCGCCCCAAAACAGGATGACGGAGAACCCGAAGAGGATCTACGCGTTCACGTCATCAGCGCTGCGCTTTTCGTCTTCATCGTATGATATGACACACTCACCAAACTATGATACAACGCATTCCCGACCCACAGCCAAAACGCCGTCTTCGTGAAGAACACGTTCTTCTGCCCGAGCGTATACAGCTGCGGATACCGGTCCAATATACGCGCTGAGACGAATTGGTCGAAGATGCCGATGACAAGAGGAGGCAGGACGGTGAAGACGACATTATAAAATGAGATCGTCCATGATTCGTAGGCGATTTGACCGGAGAAGTTGTTGAAGAAAGAGAACTGCGGAGGTCTTAGTATACAAACGATCAGGAAAGGAGGATCCGTACCCAGAACTGGGTCATGTAGAGCGTGATGTTCTTATAGAATGAGTCTGTATCATCGTTAGCAGGCTGTTCGACACGGCAGATTGTCACGAACGCACAGAGAATAAGCTTCGACAACCGCTGATAACTCCAGGCACCATGTACAAGCAGCAGCTTCTTGAGGTACCTGAACTGCGAAATGGCCACATCGGCGGACCGAGCAGCTTGGAGACCCTATTGGACGACACTCAGGGCCTACTCCCATCCTGAACGGCGCGACACCTACCTCGACACCGGAGATACCAACTCCCACGTGGGCAGCTTGGATCATGCTCACGTCATTGGCACCATCACCAATAGCGAGGAGGATCGAGTTCTGGTTCTTCTTCACGAGCTTGACGACGAGCGCTTTCTGTAGGGGCGACACACGACCTGCCGAGCGATACTGTGAGCCTCGAATGACGCGAGAAATGAAGGAGACGTACAGCAGATAACGGCTTTGCAAAGGAGAGCGAGCTCCAAAAACGACTTGGAGAGCTCCTTCTCGAGCGCAAATCCCAGGCTTTTACCGTCTGCGAGAAGGTCGTGATCAGAATGTGCGGTTTTGAAATATATGTATAGTTCACGCACCGATAACCAGAGCGAGGTCCTCCAGTTCCCCGGTACTCCGCTGGTTCTTGATAGCACTCAACCGTTTAGAGATGAACTCCGCCGTATCATGTGCATTCTCCTCATTCACAGTGACCTATCCCTCCCAAAAAAGTGAGCACCACCAATCCATCAACCCCACAAAAAAAAAGACAACCCACCAAATTCATGCTCTCCGCGATCAACCGACAACTCATGCCAATATTAATAGCCGTCTCCTGTCTGTCCCCCGTCAACACCCAGATCTTGATCCCCGCCATCTGCAGCGTATGGATCGTGTCCGGCACGCCTTCCTGGAGCTTATCCTCGATCGCCGTCGCCCCGAGCAGGAACATGTCCTTCTCGATGAGCTCGGCGGCGCTGTCGAGCGCGTCGCCGCGCCCGTTGATGGTGGCGGCTGCTTGTGCGTATATGGTCGCCCATTGGGCGTATTCGGCGGCGGGGATATCGCGGTAGGCTATACAGAGGGTTCGGAGGCCTTCGGTCGCGTAGTCCTGTCATTCCACAGCATCAGCATCAGCGTCTTCCTTTTCGAGCGGAGGAAAAAGGAGAGAGAAGCAAATAAAACGGGGGGGTTCACCTCGAGATGCGCCATTGTTTTCTCGGTATAGAGCTGGTTCTTCCCGAGGCGCTCGAGGATGACGGTGTCCGCTCCTTTGCAGTACAGCTTGATCTTCCCGTCTGGGGCGCGCACGACTGTCGACATCCGCTTGCGCGTCGAGTTGAACTCGCAGACGTTGAGGATCTCGTATTCGACGGACCGTCCGTGGATATTGACAAAGACCGATTTCGGCTTGCGGGTCTGCACGCGTGGGGGACGTGGGAGGGAGGGGAGGGGAGGGGAGGGGAGGGAAGTCAACATAATCAGTCACCCCAACACACGAGAACCCGATTCGACGCACATGGAACTGATACCCCAAGAGCTCCGCCCCAGCCACGAGCGCCGCCTCGTCCGGACTGCTCGCCTGATACACCGTCCTCCCCTCCTTCACCTCCGGAATGACGGTATGGCACACCGCAAGCAGCGCCATGAACTCGTGTGCCACCTCCCGCTCGCGCGTGGAGCCCGCCGCCGACCCAGCCTCGAACGGGTTCGCGCTTCCCTTGTCTGAGCTCGTGCCCGTGCCCTCGAGGAGCCGCCGCATCTCCTCAAAAGTCCGCCACTCATCCTTCGCCCCGTCTCCCTCCCCCTCCCCACCACCCCCGCCCCTCCGGCTTTCATCCACAGCCTCCGCATACGCCCACCCCCCGACGCTCGCACACTTGAACTCCATCTCATTCCGCGTCAGCGTCCCCGTCTTGTCCGAGAACACAAACTCTATCTGGCCGAGCTCCTCGACGAGGCTCGACGTGCGGCACAGCGCGGGGGTGTCGGTGGGCGCGAAGTACATGTCGAGGTCTGAGTTTATGAGTGCTGCTTGTTGGAATTTTACTACTTCCATCGTTACTATTAGGGAGATGGGGATTAGGTTGTTGTAGAGGATTATGAAGGTTAGGATGTCTGTGGGTGGGGTGTGTTAGTGGGAGCGGGGGGTAGGGGGAAAGAGAGAGGGGAAGGACCTTCGATGAATAGTTTGGCTGGGGACGGGTGTTAGCGTTAGATGTAACCCCGTGCCTGGAAAGACAACGACTCGCCTCGACCAGAGAACGTGTTCGACTCGAAGAGATACCACTGCTGACTCGACAAGAACCACTACAAACGAGGACCACCATCAATCCCCCAACTCTCTCCGCAGATCCCACAATCAACTCACCGTATTGATGCTCGCCCCAATCGTCGACCCGATCGACAGCGCAAGCAAGAACCCAAACAGGAATATAATATGCACATTCACCTGTTTCTCAACCGCCGTTCTCTTGATCGGAGCCGCCCTACGATCCCAAAATCCCAAATCAGCTTTCCCCCCTTCAAAAAAAAGAACCAAACGCATAGACTCACGTCGCATTCCGCATCAACTTCGTCTCGTGCCCCGTGAACACAACAACCCCATAGATCCACGGCGTATTCCTCAGCTGTGCACCGCGCAACAGCATCTGATCCGGGCCAAGCGGCACCTGACGCGGCACGCCCGCATCGCTGACGAGCTCGAGGGTCCCCTCGTACGTATACAGCGCGTTGTTCGGTTGTTCCGAGCGCAGGGAGCCGTGGAGGGCCGCGACGAGGCTCGGGGAGGTGAGCGCGGCGGTCGAGGGCGACGCCTGCTTGATCTTGAGGTTCGTCTCGCCGTCGAGGTTCGAGGTCTCGATGTAGCAGAGGCCTTCGGGTTCTGAGGACGCGAGGAGGACGAGGTCGGCGGGTATGAAGTCGTCGGATTCGACGCGGACGACGTCGCCTACGCGTAGGTCTTTCCATTTGCGCGCGTCGAAGGTGGCGGTTGGGGAGAGGGCTTTGGCGAGGCGGGCGTTTAGCTCTGAGTCTGATTGGTGGCGTTTCTGGGGGGGAGGTGGGTTAGGAGATTGGGGCGATGGAGGGGGAGAGAGACAGGCTCACGAGATCTTCCTGGACTTCTTTGAATGCGGAGGCGAGGAGCACAATCCCAAGCGGGACAATCGTGGTGTACTGGTTCGTAGGCGACACACCGGGGATCTGCTGTATGCATGCCGTGAACAAGAAAAACAGATTCGCATATTTCGAGAATTGCTCTGTTCTTGTCCGTTAGCAGCGTTCTATGTATCGAAAACCGCCCCGCACGCACCCTTGAGAAACTTGGGGGCAAAGGTGGCCATGTTGTATTTGCTCGTGGACACG